CCGCCTCCGGCTCTGGGGTTCTGCGATGCCGCTTTCCACTAGCGGGGACCCGGGCGCTCCGGGCAGGGACCACTGGGCGGGCGGTGTTAAGCTGCTGCGGCCCGGAGCTGCTAAAGCAAGCAAACTGCTCCTCGGTCCTCTGGGGTTCCTACGTCCGGACCCTCCCCTGCCCTCCCCTCCCCCGGCTCTGAGTGACATTTGCCCCGGGCACTGCCTGGCAGCCCCACCCCTCTCTCTGCCTGGTCGTCTTCTCTTCTCCCACCACTATCCCTGTTCCCCTCTTCTCTCGGTAACTCGTCCTGACTCGACTCCGCACCTGCTTTCCCTGTGGGCTCCGCCCTCGGGATTCCCTCCTGGATGCCGGCGCCTCCGGTTTCCTTGGGTCAGCGATCCTTCTCCTTCCTCTGGTGTCCCGAGTAGACTGGCATCATCTCCTCTCCCCCCTCCCCCCGTCCCCGCTCTGTTTCGATTTGATGGGAAAGGAGCAGCAGCTGTTCTTCTCTTCTCCAGGCCCTTTATCAAGCATCAAGTTTCTTCCCCAAGGCTTTTCCTTCTTGCAGGGTAGTCTGGCATGTTCACTGTTGCCTGTGCTAGGTTGCTGTGATTTCACAGCCTTTGGGGAGGGTGAAGCAGGACATGGACGCTCAGTGAAGTGGTTGTTGAGAGTACACCTGCGTGCCTTTCCCCCAAAAGTCCCCTGTTGTAGGATGCTAAATTAACTGCTCCCGTCGTGAAACCGTTTCCTTGATCACTTGGTGGAGAGATGATGTAAATAAAAATCGCCCCCTTACATAGAGATGAACTCCCAAAGGAATGATTTCTCACTTCCTGGATCTGCTTTTCCTTTTTATTCTACACTGTTTACTTTTTGTTTGTTTGTTTCTAGTTCTTCATTGTGTAACTTTGTTTAGCTTACAGCATAAAACCCTTTTAGTTTTCAAATACAATGTAAAATAATATTTAAGCCACAATATTGCTAATGGTGGCTTGGACTGTTAATATCACATTGCATCCAGGAACCATAAGTCCTAGTTGAGAAAACACTGCAGTTACACTTGTTTTAAAACAGGAAGTACAGCCAAGGAGGAAAAGAGGAGTCAGAGTTAAGAAATAGGGATGTAAAGACCTTAAAGCGAGAGCCCTGGGGCAATATAAATATACAGCATTTATATTCCCTGGAGAAGTCATGGATATCTTTTCTTTCATTTTTCCTTCCTTTTTCTAATGCACCAGTAATAGTCTAGAACATACTAGCAAGCATAGTTGCAAACAAATCAACTTCTTAAGGTAAATAATTAAACATGAATGCCATCAGTAAAAAAGTTAAACAGTGGTGGAAAGCATAAATTATTTGCAAGAATTTCTTTATTATCAATAAAGAGGTGATGATTGCCCAGGTAGACAGTAATAGTCTGCTCTTCTTAAACTTATAAGAAAGGTTAATGGTGGAGTCTGGTTCCCAATAGATATTAAATTGAAGTTGAAATGAGAAGGGTGTGTTACACCTAAGTTGGCCCTATTCCTCTAGCAGGTGTATACACAGGTGAATGTGAGGTTTCTGTTGCACAGACTTTTCACCTGCTTCTCTGAGCTACTTAAAGTGGGCAAGGTATTAATATGGTTGTGCAGCTGAATGGCAGCCCAGTTTTATTTGTTGCTAAGGCTTTGATCTAATGTCCAATGTTGGGCAGTGGTTAAGGTGCAGTTCTTAGTTTGTTGTGCTTTGTTTTAGTTTTCATGTATTAGGGTTGTTGGTTCTTTTTTTTTTTTTGCACCTAAAATATTGTTTGTGTTTATTTGTGTGTTTGTGTTTATGTGTCATGGAGCATGTGTGGAGTCAGAGGACAACTTGAATGAGTTCTTCTGTTCTTCATTGTGTAGAACCTGGGGATTGAACTCAGGAAGTTAGCTGTGATGGTTGTCTCCTTCATCATGTGTGATAGAAATATTGAATTCAGGTTGTTAGGCTTGTTGGAAGGCCTTTTTACCTACTGAGCCTTCTTCATGGCCTGCAGTTGTTTTGAGATAGTTTGTAGTGTTTCTCATCTTCAGCTTCACTAAAACCTTCTTTTTTATATAAAATAATTGTTAACATGCCTTTTGCTATCCTGAAATCATTCATACCATTTAGCTTTGATTCTGAGACTGAAAGCTTTGCTTGCATCTTTACAGTAATGGAAGAAAAAAAAAACTAACTTCAAGTTGATCACTTCAAAGACTGCTTAGAGAACTGAGGAGATAGTGAACCACTAGCTCAAAAGGAGTTGGAGAGGGAGGGCGGAAGCTGAGGGAGGACCTTCGGACAGTGGTTAAGAGTTCAGCTAGAAAAGTTGAAAAATGGATGAAAGTGAATGTGCCAACTTAGAGGCTGTTTAGAAACTGTTTACTATACACAAACTTCACTGTGTGCACGAACTCCTAGGAGACTGAGCGTCTGTTATTCAGATCCAGTGGAGGGGAACAGCAGCAGAGTTTTTAAGAAGACCAAGAAATTGCTCTACATCTTTTCTCCTTGAAATAACAAGGTTAATATATGTGTGGGGGCCATATTATGAAACACACACACACACACACACACACACACACACACCCACCCACCCACCCCCTTCTTAGGGAAATATGGAGAAGGTAAGAATATCTAGGGGAGGGGTCTTGAATGCCAAATTGGGGTTGAGGGTTAGTCGGGAGACTGAAGAGGACCATATTCCTTACCCTGTGACGTAATACAGGATTCAGACTGATCATTAATCAGCACAGAGACTGTATCTCCGTCTCCAGCCACTGCACTAATTCAGTTTGAATATGTCACCATAATCACAGAACACTGCAAGAGAAAGCACAAGGTTACATGAAGCACAACACGAAGGTCAAGACTGATTTCTCTAGTTAAAGCTCCTCCCACCATAGATACACATTATTCTGCAAAAGAATGATGCCTGTGGTGTCCTGAGGTTAACTGTCACAAGGGCATAAACCCAGCTGGCCCCTAACTAGGTTAATTCTCTCTTTGCACTCACACCCTGACAAAGAAAGGGGAGACTCATTTCTGATCATAAAATTGTTCACCTTAGTTTCCACTACTCCATACATGTCCAGCTTCCAGTGAAACAAGAAGCATATGAAAAGCTAAGGGGAACAAAGAAATTCCAAAGGGAGCAATTATCATAGCTACACTCAGACTGATGTTGGTAGATAGTGTTATCCAGCAGGGAATTTCAAGTGACCGTTAATGATTGAAGCAGAAAAAAAAATGGTTAGTCAAATCCTGGATGATAAGAGTAACTTCAAAAACATAAGAACTGAAGGACTTAAACAGAAGTACTGGAAATGAAAAGCACAGTAAGGAGATGGGGAATGCCTTTGGGCTTACCTGACTTGTAACTGCTGAGGAAAAAAAAAAACAGCAAACCTGTATGTCAGTAGAAATTATCCATGTGTGTCACTAAAACATTGGAGGAAAACACATCCAAAGATTTGGAAATAGGGACTGGAGAGATGGTTCAGTGGATAACAGAACTTGTTGCTCTTTTTGGAGACTTGAGTGTGTTATCCAGTACTCAGGCTAGGTTCCTTACAACCACCTGTAACTCCAGCTCCAGAGGATCCAAATCCCTCTTCCGGTCTCAACACAGACCTACATCTGCTTGCAGATAGGCACACACATACATATACATTTAAAAATAATGAAAACAAATAATCAGAGATGTGAGTCTTTGCGTGGAATCCGTTTGTGATAGAAACATGGATGGGTACACATTTGTCCTCTTGATGACTCAAATACCACAAGTAGAATTACTGTTTGAATTGTTTTCTGAACTGAACAAGGTATATATAATCTCTCAATTTATAGTAGCTGTAGTGCTGGAAAATTGGTATACATTAAGCCCAATAGAATATGTTTTGTGTTTTACATTTAAATTGAGTTAGGTTGTGGGGCTAGTTCATTGTAAATAGGTTTTCCTCTGTGCAAATAAGCATTTGGACGGACATTGAGGGCAGGTTTTCAAGTCTGTATGTGTCTGTACACTTTAACTGGAAGTACCCTGGAGGCCAGAGAGAGCATTGAATCCCAATGAGAGATTTGGAGTTTCAGGCTGTTGTGAGTCCAATGATTTGAGTGTGTGGAACTGAACTCAGTAAGGTCTTCTGGACGATCACTTAGTTCATGCTCTTAAGCACTGAGCCATTTCTCTAGTCCCTGGTTTAAAATTTTAACCAGAATTTTTAACACATTTTCTTCCTGGAGCAGTGTACTTTTCCTGAGTGCATACCAGCTCATAATCCCTCCTGTCACAGAAACTGATTCATAGTCATGGGGACTCTCCTGAGAGTCACTGATTTCAGGAATATCTTTTTAGCAACTAGCTGAAGCCAGGGCATAGTATGGTAGTCTTCAGTGACTTAAGACAGAATTACTTGGGAAAAGGTTCATCCAGTGTGGCTTACTTACAGTTGTATCTGTGTACTCTTAACTTTATTCAGCAGCCCACATACTGTACCTATGGACTGCTTATGAAGAAATAGGATTTCTAAAATAGGATCAAAAGCAATGGGTTTTGTTGTTTCTTTGTTAGACTAAACCACCTCGGTAGCTCATGTATTTAGCCAGTGTCCTGAGGACTGGTTTGCACTTGACTAACACGTAGGAAACAAAACACCTAAAGCAGTCTGAAGTGTAATTACTCTCATGTTCTGCCTTTAACTGTAGTTAGCAGAACTTAACCAACTATTAAGGTTTTGTATGGACGAGGCTTTTGCTAATAGATCCAAAGGTCTGTACCAACTTTACTGAAAGTTAGGCTTTTACAGGCTTTTCTGATTTGTGTTCTGTTGGTGTTTTGGCTTTA